TGTGACACGTCCGCGCGTGGCATTGAAGAAAAAAAAAGAATAAACATATAAAAGATTATACACGTATGTAAGTAACTTTTAGAGTATTTGAGTAAAAAAGAGGCATACATAGTTGATAGCGTTTTATTAAATGTTGTGAAAAACGTCTCTTATCTGTCTGCTGTCTGTCCATCGTTTAAATGTTGTCCAAGTCTCACGTCTTCGTGTTCTTGGGGCGCATTTAGTGTTTAAAGTGGCTGAAGATAATCATCTTTGCGAAGCAATTTCGGAAAAAATTTAATGAGATAAGAAACTCTGTTTATACTTCATTATTTGATTATTCAATTTGGAAATCGAACAGCCACTAAGAGCGCTCAGAGCGTGAACCAGAACACTTGTGTGTCTCGCCATATCTTTCATTGACAGAACCCTAACATTCAAAAGAAAGATATCGTCTGTCCTTGTTATCGATCCTGCCTTGTTTTCTTCATTCTATCACGTTCACGATTGTTAATGTAATATTATTTTCTTTATTTAATTATATTTAAATAACTTGGATTAAATTTAAAAAATATCTTAACTATCGTTAATGCAGTAAAATCGACATTTTTTTATGTTATTCATTGATTTAAATTATTACTATTTTGAAAAAAAAATATCTTCATATAAATGAATAAAATACGGGCTGAATGAAATTTAACAAAAACAGAAATAGAGAATAATGAAAAAAAATTAAGATGAATAGTAGTAATAGAAAAATATAGTATGAAAAAGCGGTATCCCGCAATTTCCTAACACATTTAAATCACTAACTTTTCAATGAACGGATCCAATGGAAGAGAGGCTGTCGTCATTCTACTCTCTTCAGAAGGCAACAACAAAAATGGCAAAATGATATAGCGATTCTAAACATGGCGCGTGAAAACTATCTCTTTTCATGGACGTCGAACATGGAATAAAAAACGTGGGGTTTTGAAGAAAGCAGAACCTTGAACAAGACATTTTGAAATGGTAAGATTTTGCTATCACGCTACAATAACAAATGCAAAAATGCAAAAATATACAAAATTTTTTAAAATAAAAATGGAGAAGCTCACTTTATATATAATTTTTATTTTTATTTTTAATTGAATTCGTGAAGTTTAAGAATTTGATTCATTCTAATCTATTTATAAAATTTTACAAATATCGTCATTTCGTTTGCGTATTTAAGAAAGTAAATAAAAAATTCGAAAGTAGATTGTAATTATTGTTTAATATTGACGATAAATTAAATTAAATTCAGATAGCTCAGACATGTTTTGTAAGTTCACTTTCTTCTAATTTGAAGAATTCTAAATCTTTCTTTTTTTTGTGTATTTATAGAGGATTTTAATTATTCTTGCCACTATAATTATCTAATTAAATCTTAAATTTACAAACGCGAATCTTAAATATCGATAATGAAAATTCGATATTAAAAATCCGTCAAACTGCATATAATATATCTGTCTGCACATCGTAAAAACTTGGATTTTTTTCCTCCTAATTAAAGGTACTTTTGAAGTACCTCTTCAAAACTAAGCGCCATTTTGACTCCTCCTGAGTTTTGAGGTGCATCGATCCGTCCCTGAGTACCCTCTCTCCTCAACAAAGCCGGAGGAGAGCGCCTCCGTTACAACAAATGGCGGTACCGCGCGTCCGTAAGTACCTGCTCCCCCCCACTCCGTATATCTCGTCATGGTGGGAAAAAGTCCGTCGCACACCGGCACACATCTCCGGCGTGACACGGAGTGGTTGCCACACAGTCGCACACCGAGGTCCGACTCGCGAGGGAAGCTCGGGCTCCAAACGGCTGGCAATTTTCCTAGCCGCGTCGCGGCTCGCACACGCACGCGGTACCCCGTCTTCCCGCCTCGGTTTTCCTTTCGCAATCTGAAGAGCGGGGACCCC